TCGCCAGACTTTGATGTTGACGCGGGTAAGATGTCGCTTTTGGCAGATTTATGACAATGCGTTCCGCAAAAAGCGATTTTTTGAAATTGTTTAAAACGAATCACAACTTGCAATTATTAACGGCTCGTGGGTCTTTTTTGCGCCATGAGGTCTTTTTGGCACCAGTGGAACTCCCAGTATATTTTGCTTGTTGACGTTTTTATCGGCTCTGGTTATTTTTGCTATGGAAGACAATTCCTGCTTGGCAGAAGCAGCTTATTCTGCTCTTATACTCAGCTGTAACCACATTCTTTTTCCATCTTCACTGATTGCCCTAAGCAATAATCGTAGGTTCTTCACGAAGCCGAAGGCCGGTTTTCGATTTTCATGTCAAAAAAATTTGAGTATAAGAAGCCATTCCATGACATTTTTGTTTAGATTTCTTCGGTTTTTTTTTTTTTTTTATCTCAATGGATTGCTGTTTTATAGATCTGGAAGCGAAACTTAACGAGCTGTTGGTGAAAACGGTCGGTTCAGATGGACAGTTTCGTTGGGATGCTGTTGACATACTGCTCAGGTTTCTTGAACTGAGAGCGAATTTTTCCAAAGATACATCGAGCAAATACCCGGAAAAGTGCTACGTCATTTTCAAACAGGTAAAAATGAAACAGTTGGTATACGTCTGCATGATGTCAGTTTGGAATGCTTTTTCTCTTCTTCAATCGAGGGTTGAATGTACGCAGAAACTTATTTCCTCGTCTTCAATCGAGGGTTAAATATACACCGAAACTTATTTTCATCGAGGGTTGAATAATCGAAATTTGCCCTACATTTCATCCTGTACGAGATGTGATTAGCTAGGAAGTAGCTAGAATTATCGCACTGCTTATGAGGGTGGTAAATTTTGTTGCCTTTCAGGTGTTTGCGTTCATTACACCAACGGAGGGCTTGCTGATAACAAGGTTCGATGGGGATCGTTTCACTGTTGCGTGTTGTTGTCGCTCCGTACACGTTGCACTTCTGTTTTCCCGAAAAGATACGCTGTACAAAGAGCTATTGCTGAACTTTATCGATGATTTCATCAAAAATATCTCAAAGGTGTTCTTATTCGGTTTTCGGCATTTCCGTTTTACACTTGGTTGCTCTTCCCTAGTTGTGTTGAAAAAGAAAACGATTATTCTGGAATTGTGTTGAGTGTTTTAGGATGTACTAGATAGTGGGCCACTGTCACCGAAAAATTTGCTCAATAGTGGAGCAGCGTATTATTTTGCATTCATTGGTG